AAAGTGTTTTTAAAATCCATTTGGAGGGAGAATTAAAACAGGCAAGACAAAGCTGAGCCCAAAGCTGCATCGCGCTGACAGGCTCTTCAGAGCTATTCAGAAAGGCAGGAATGAAAATTCCAAAGTTACGAGAAAAAAATGTCTGGGGAGAGGAATGGAGAGAGGGCAGTCAAAGAAGTGACCAAAGAAACCACATACAGGGAAGAAGATAGAGATGAAAATAAAGACCGGGGAGTCAGAGGAAGTGAGGCCAATGAAGGAAGAAGGCAGCTGAGAAGAGTAAAGGAGTCAGAAAGGTTAATAGACTGGAGATCCCAAAAGGAGTGAGTGACAGGGTGGAGGAGAGAGAAAGACAGATATGCTGAAAGAGAGCAGGTAGCGATCAGAGAGAAGGAATTTAGAAATGAGAGATAATAAAAGACAACAGTATTTAGTAAAGACAAGGTCACGTAACTGATTGAGGCAGCAAGAAAGTCTGTCTACAGCTAGAAATCAAAGGAGGTGGTTGGAAAAATAGAGTGAAGGACAATAGAGTTGAATAGCTATCAGAATAAAGAAACAGGGGCTACCGATGATGAAGAATAAAATTTGACAAGGCAGGAATGTGCAGAGTTTTGCAAAGTCCCAATGAAAGAAACAGTAGTCAGAAATGCAAACTAACAGCCACTAGGAAAAGGCCATGGGAAGGAAAACTAGACACAGAAGACTTCAAAGCAGGAGGACTGTGGAACAGACATCAGGAAAGATGAAGAGGCAACAGGAGACATGAATGGCAGGACTGCAGTAGTGAATATAAAAGGGAAGCAGTTAAAAAAAGAAAGGAGAAAAAAGGTTTAGGAAAAGGTGTAAAGTTTGAAAAAGAACCTTAAAAATCCACAGCTTAATGAGGTTTGGAAAGGTAAGTTTAAAAAACAAAACAAAACACACAGGCATAGCCAATACCTGTATTTCCTCCATTCTTGAAGTTGCTGCCTTTGCTTGGTGATCTTGGCAGAAACTTCCCGACTGTGGGAGTGACAGAGCACTGGAACAGGTTGCCCCACAGAGGTAGCAGAGTCTCCTTCACTGGAGATATTCAAAACCCATCTGGATGGGATCCTGGGAAACATGCTCCAGAGGACCCTGCTTGAGCAGGGAGGCTGGACTAGATGATCTCCAGCGGTCCCTTCCAACCTAAACCATTCTGTGATCCTGTTTAGTAATTCATCCAGATCAAACCATCAACTAGATATTCAAAAGATCAACACTCTCACTTACTAGATGATGTAGGGGATCTGGAGGGACTGGAAAAAGCTTTGAACTGTTAAAGAATAACAATGGAAATGCTAGTGATTTGTAGTCTGCTGTCCAGCGCCTTCCCAATTAAATTAGCTCTCCACAAATCAAGACCTAAAGGTCTTCACTGACTCTTACCTACATCAGCCTCCTGCTCCTAGAGCCATGAGTACCCAACGTAGCACTCGCGACCAGCATTTGAATGCAGCCCATCTTGCTGCATAACAGCTAAGGACTGGGTGGATGAGTTGTTAAAACAAATACCACTGCAATTTTGGGTCCTATTCAGGGACACCTGAGAACCCCTGGCAAAACAAGCCTGTCTTCTCTGTTTCCAAGCCTCCATCAAGGATTTCACTCTTCATGCCTTTCTTAATCATGAGCATGAATAAAACACCAGCCTTCTCCTACACTCCTAATACTGCTTCTTCATCCTTCTGTATATTGGCATGTTTTTAAAGTTCTGGCTTGATACAAAAATAACACATACTTCTATTGCTTGCTCACAGAGTTGACAGCTGGATCATTAGAATATACAGAAGAGGAAAAAAAAAAAATACATCAGTCTGTGCTACCAAAATGGTAAAATACAAGAAGTCTAAAAAGTGAGCTGAGCAAAGAACTTATTTATATATACACACCCTAACAATTCCTACTTATTCACTGTGTGTAAAACAGGTTCACTAAAAATTATCAGAATTCCATAAAAATACAAGGGTCATGAGTTTACAGGACTAGGGTAACAATGGGAGGTTTGGGTTTGTTTTTGTTTTTAAATTTGTATGCCTTTTCAGATCATTTTCATACATTTGAAAACAATTCTAAATACTGTTTTTAAATATTTGATATTAAAAATTATTTTGAGTTAACTGTTAATATATCTAATGTAGTATTTTCAGATATAATTTTTGACACATAGTATGAAAAAGACTTTTTAAATGTACTCGCTTTTGTGACAGGCAATAAAACTCACCTATAATCAACTACTGGAAGCAGTAAACTGTCCACAAGATAGGTAGCATCTACTGTAACATATACATCTGTAATAAGAAAAGTTTGAAAAAATATCATAAAAGCACTATCATTTTTACATTACATTGAATATCTGTATGTTTTATTTCTATTAGGCTTATTGCACAGCAAGGGAGCCTTCAAGACTCAAGACAAAGGTTTTAAGCAATCTTAAGCACAAAGTTCACCATTTCATTAAGTTAATACTGTAGCACTACTGAAATAAAAGGAGAAGCTGGTCAGACATTTTGGTTAGAAATGTAACACATTCATTTAAAAAAAAAAACAAACGTGTAATGCCATAAACTTAAAATAAATAGGGTCACCATCAACAACATATGAAAATTAGAATGGTGTTTTGTACAAGAAAATATTTTATAAAAGTATAGCAGAAATGGAAGTGCTGTAACAGACATGATCATTTTCATAGGTTACTAGGTAATTTACTTGCAGGATAGATTCCACAATCCCCAGTCACATAAGTAGTTCTATTAACCCTCGCGGCGTACTCAATTACCAGGGTTGGTACCCAAGTCATCCACACCACCTGTTTTAGAGACTTTTAAAATAGAAACTACTACTACTTCTACTCAGCAAAAAATTAATACTTTAAAAAAAAAAAAAAACACCACCACACCACACAAATAAAAAAAAAAAACACACACACACACACAAAAAAAACCCTAAACGCTGGAGTAGGTACACTCGCTAACTCACAATTCATCAAGATGTCTTTACTCAATGTGCCCTTGGGGGGGGGGGGGGGGGATTTTCTTGGTTTCTTTCATGAAAAATCATAATCCTTGATATTATGCTGGGTGCAAATAACCTAGTTGTGTTTGGGTTTTTCAGTGATTTTTAAATATCCTACTCCATTTCAGAAAAGAATAGCTTGAGTACATGTGCATGTTAAGAGCTAATCCTGGCAGTCTAGCAAGTACTGTACTGTGGCCTTTTCCAATACAAAACATTTCACTCTATGTCATAGGAACTATTATTATAGAACAGAACTGTCATTTTTTAAAATCAATGATCAGAAAAGTGAATGGAGGTTTAAAAAAAAAAAAAAAAAAGAGGCTGCTAGACATAAACCAAGGCACTAATCCTCTAATCCTGCCAGGTCTCTTAAATACTTCATTCCCATAAATTGTCTCATTGAAGTCCTAAAAGAATAAATTCGGTATACACAGGAGCCAGAGGGAAAACTAAGTATTCATCCTACAAAATTTTGGAAAAAAAAAAATACAATACACACACACACACAGGGAAGATCTAGTATATTCACTATTTTAAAACTCCTATATTTTACCAAATAGAATTTCCTTGCTATTTCTAATAAAAATATAATATAAAATAAAATCGTGACCTAGCTTGAAATTTGTCCATAAAACCCACAGTTAAGATTTTTTTTTGAGCATTATGTCAAATCAAAATAATTGGTCTAGCACACAGATGTACGGTTGTACTGTGTTCAGTATACCATATTATGTTGTCTTTAAAATGAAAGTCACAAAAAAAAAAAGAAGGTGCAGGGACTGACTACATATAGAACCCCTACGCACATACATACTGCAGCTTCTCTTTGAATGAACTTCTTACCTATATAAAGAAAAGATTTAACTGACCTTGACAGCTTCTTAGCAGTCTCACTGGCAACAATTCTGTGTTTGGACAACTTTGTATGGTCTCAAAAAATTTGTCTTTAAACTCAAGAAATCTCAGCCCAAACTTATTTTTAACATAGTGTTAAGGAAAAAAAAAAGTGTCTTGTTCTTAACAATAAAAATATTACTTAAGCATATCCAAAAGGGTTTAGGTTTCAACCAAAAAATTCTCAATTTCCTTTTCAACCAATAAAGTATTTGTAAAATATTTTACATATATAATTTACTTCCCAAATGAAGGAATGGCAACTTTCTTTTAAAAGTAAAAGGTAGAATTTACTTGTGCTAAACATAAAACTACTACTCAGGATAGATACAGTATATAAAAATCAGATATTCACGAACAATACATTTGTATTATTGTATATAAAATTCCAAAAGGTTTCTGGATTAGAAAAACATTTTTAAATTCAAATATAGTACTGTAAGGTCATTCAAATTATTTTAAATACAAAAACCTACAGTGACATATCCATAAATAGTTGGGAAGTCGCAACTTAAACATTGCGTCTTTTAAATTGGATCTTCTCAGATACGCTAACCTCAAAAATTCCTTATCTGCTACAAAAAGCATCTGCCTGGTTTTAGCACTTAACTGCATAGACTCCTATTGCTGCAGGGCAGTGTCACACGATTCTATGGAAAACAATCCGTTTGCAGAAACAACACCTTATATTTTCCCTCCAAACCTCCAACAAACATTTTATGTGCATTATGCCAGAATAACAAAATGAAAAGGGATGTTACAAAAATTTCACTGTGTGACAGTTTTTCCCAGTAACTCTTTTCCCATTACACTTAGCAAGCATGGAACTGCTCAGGTCAGTCTCCTCTCATGTTGAGAACTGCGACTACAATTCAGTATAAAATACAATAACCTTCTATAACAATTATGTCCCTTTTAGAACAAAGATTAAAATAAATTTAACTGTGCTGATTCATATCGTCCATAAATTAAAAAACGTGAGACACTCAGAAATTTGTTTCTGAATAACAAGCCTAATATCTGCCTCATGTGCAAAAGTGCAACTGTGGTGCAACTGTGTTTTAGAACTAAGGTCCAACTGAATATAGTTCTGTTATTAAAGAAAAATACACTTTAACTCACTTTACATCGAAAACAGTGGTTCCTGGTACCTTTTGAAGTTATGCTTTACATATTTCAACCTGTTTTAAAACTGCAACTTGGTAAAAACAAAAATACAAAAAAAAAAAACAAACAGAAAACAAAGCTTGCATATAAATTGGATTACAATTCAAAGCATGACAGTAAGCTTCAAATAATTACATTTCTGTAACACACAAAGAAAAAGGTGGGATGATTTATTTAAAGTACTTGAATATTTCTGTTCTTTTCTTCATGATCTGATGTCTGTTTAGCTGCTCGCAGTGTGTGCATGCATACGTTTCGCTACATCATAGACATAGGTTATGTCTGGTCGCTTCTCTGGATCCGGGTTGATGCACATATTAACTAATTGTCGGAGCTAGGAAAGGAAAACACGTGTAAGAAGGCCAACAATCCTGTCAAGTAGTATCTATGTATTCTCAAATTCAAATTAATAAAACTGGCAAAAATTAGCCAAACATAGCAATTCGGCATACACACACATTCAACACGCTCTCGAAACACATCGCGTGCACGGCTTTAAACAAGCAAGAATGCAACATACTCCAGTGATTTTTGCATTCTGTGTTTTTGTCTAGGAAAGCAGATAAGGAGATTTAAGTTCTAGTCCTTTGAATATACAGACATTTATTCATTATAAATCATTTTCCATGACGCTTCCTGTGTTTTATGGATGGCTATGACTTCAAACTCTAACCTAGGCCTTTTCAGCCTGGAAGGCTGAAACAAGCATGGAGAAGATAAATAGGGGCTGTTTGTTCATTCTGCGCCAATACAAGAGCTAGCCAGCAACAAATGAAATTACTGTGTGAGAGGTTCCAATAAAAGACAGTGATTCTTCATATGATGTAAAAGTTAACCTGCAGAACCTCCTGCTGCTGGAAGCTAAAAACGTGAACAGATTCAAAAGGGAACTGGACAAGTTAAACACACTGAAGGCTATTTAACATGAAGATCCCACCTTTGATTTAGGAAATCTCTGAGCTTAAAGCTGCTGGAACCTGGGAAAGTACTTTGGGGAGATATTTCATTATGTTGGCCCTATTCTTCCATTTGCCCCCTATCACAGACAGGATACTGGATGAAATAGTCTTTACTCAATGTTCCAGGACTTGTTCTTAGAATTAGGCCTTTAATTTTTTTTTCTTTCTATAAAGAAACACATAATCAACAAGCACGTCAAAGAAAATCCCTCTCTGGGAATAAACAGTCACTATGACTTGAAAGTACCATGTTTCCAAAACACCATGTTTTACTGGGTCTTTTACAGTTTCCATATTCAGCAAGGTAACCCCGAAGTAACCATTCAGATACTTCTCATTATTTTCAGAAACTGTCAGAATAGTTACAGGTTTTGCTTCCTCCCTTGATATACTTCAGGTGACATTAGAGCTTAACGCAGTCTGGATAACCTTCTGGTGGGGCAGGCTCCACATCTATTTTACACTGTGCACGTTTCCTAAGCAATTTACAACATGGAATACACTTCCTCCTTGATGGCTTATTACAATGTCTGCCACCTTTCTAAAGGGTAACTTACCAACTAGAAGATGCTCGTCCTTCATGCTTTTTAATAGTTTTGCTTAGACCTCCCAGATTACATTACAGTATTTAAAAAAAAAAAAACAAACAACCAAACAAACAAACCTATACACCTTGCAATCCACCCTTTTCTGCCAAAGTGTCAAATTTGGTTCAGCCTCCCTGCTAGTACTGTGAGGTATGATTATTGGAAAAAAGCTGTAATTACTGCAACAAACAGCAATCTCATCACCATGGTTATTGAAAGGTAAAACAGACTGCACATTCAAATTCGCCATCAGAGAGTTCACTTCCTGCTTTTTATTAAAAGACTAATACAGATTTTAAGTTATAATTAAACTCCTTTTGTTTTTCAGAAGATGAATTCAAATGCACTGGAATAGAAAATTCAAAAGTTAAAAAAGGAACGTTATACACCACCAGCTAAAACTGTTCATTTACCTTTGCACAAACATTCTAAATTGTAGGCAACGTGCAGGTTTTTCCACATTTAACAATACAAAAACTGTCACTACAACTTTCTTCCTCTTTAGCAAGGAGTTTAGTATATGAGAGGATTACTTCTGAGAATAGTGGTCAGATTGTTCGATTAAAGAGGAAAACAAATTAAATAGAAATAATTTGTAATAGACTTGCTATTTGAATCTTAATCACGGAGTTTTACGAAAATCGTATTGCTTCTGGCAGCCATAAACAAAGACAGGAGAAACAACTAATTCTGTATCATTGGGAGAAGACAATACCAGAAATCATAAACTATTGTAAAAATTGTTTTACTTCGCATTATTTGTATTACACATTGGCAATCTCACATAGAATAAGCAGGTGGGACGCAGAGGAAGCAATAGGCACGATACAGCAGCTTGCTGTGCAACAGCTGAGACTGCCTGCACTGCAAACAGGAAAGAGTTAAGAAATTCAAAAATCCCAATCTTGAAATTAGACTCAAATAAGCAAGTGTTTAAGAGAATACAAACATAATTTATCCAGGGAATGTGACACCAAATTTTGTAAGTATACATATATCTTTAGCTATGAAGAGTTCTGCCCATTCAATAGAACAGCATACATTAAGTCTTAATAAAGACCTCGAAGGACTGAAAACTAAACCTATCCTTGGAGGAGGGGGAAACAGCATACTCCTCCCCACACTACCTGTTCTTTTTTCTTTTTTCTTTTTTTTCTTTTTTTCTTTTTTTTTTTTAAATTAGCTGTATGTCAATAACTTTACTGTAAGAAGTACAATGAAAGTAGATCTTCAAAAGATTTACCTTTGAAAAGCTTAAGAGGCCTTGTTTACCTCCAAGAGGTTACTTTACAGCTTTTTCAGTGCTGGTTTGTGGGTGACTGGTTTTATTTCTCAAGCCAAACTTTTCCATCTAAAAATCAGTTTTGGACTCAAACTGTTTTTAAATCATTAAACACAAGGTCTTCCCTCAGAGTTACTTTTGTTATTTGTGTTAGAGCATATTCAATTCAAAGCTTCAAAGAAGGCAATGGAGATCCATTTCTTAGGAGAACACTTCAGCAAAAAATGGCACCATTACTCAGAAGTGCACATTGGGCTTTATGCCCTACTAATTCTTGTAAGTACATTGTAGGGGGAGGGAGAGAAAAATCAGCTACATGGTGTCTTAACTGGTTGCATTTTGCAACTTATTTTATTCTTTTTTTTTAGTCTAACAAAAATGTACATGTAGCTACATTGTTTGGATGAAAGAAAGGACTTACAAGAATACGTTAACAGCAAGAGATGATCACTGAATCAGTGTACTTTGAAATTCTCTTCTCAGCATAATGCAAGAGGTGAGCTCAGTTACTGATGAACCTTCATCAATACTTTCATTAAATAAGCAACACAGTCACAGACGGCTTTTGGCTAACAGTATTTAAACGCTAGTCGCTGATAAAACTGCTAAGTTTGTCTCTCCACCCCCGCCCCAGTCCAGAATTTCCACTGTAGGGCAAGGAAGTTCAGCTGACTATGCCTGAAACACTGGGCAACAATGGGCCAGATTCCCAAGTAATTTCAAAATCCCAGAGCTCTTTTGAGCCTTGTTACTGAACAGCAAACTTTTGGGATAAACTCAAGTAATTTTTCTATGCAGGATGAAAACAGTTACACAGAAACATAGAAATCTTTCAGGACCGAGACAGGGACCATCCTGGATACTTGATTACAGTACTATTTCTTCACCTCCTAGAGGAACAGGTATTTCAATAAATCTGAAATCTCTTTGCCAACCTCTTTAATATTGATAAAATTGCAGATGACCCAGAAGAGCCTGCCGGTATCATGGGAAGGGGCACTGTGAATCTGAAGACAGACTACAGTTAGAGATACAGTAATTTTTTTTATTATCTGGCATAAATCAGCCAATAGGCAGAACAGACTTAAACTGAGCAGGAGGGACCTCCTGTTGCATCCCCAAGCTGCAAACTTCTTTGACTGCTTATTGTTCTTAACCTCCTCGGTGCACTTTGCACAATGACTGTCTTTAGCCTGGAGCTTAGCCTGATACAGGAGCAGCAGGACACACTTCCTTTAACTTCAGCAGGTTTTTCAGCTACGAAATAAATCCCTCAAGTCAGGAGACGGGTGGGGAGCAAGGCTAAAAACTATGACAGGCAACTGCTTTGCATTGTTAGCCAGTTGAAAAAGAAGAAATTTTCATATAGAAAATTCTAGATGAGAAAAAAAAAAAAAGCGTTCTTACTCTGAATAGGAGACTTCCTTGAAGCCCTTTCTCAGTGCTGGCAGGAACACTGGCAAGTAACACTGTAATTCTAGACCTGCTGGCTCTTTCAGCCTTCGTATCGGGAGAGGAGGTTGGCTATGGACTTGTGAGGAAAAGCACCTCAATCAGGGATGAAGTTCTTCAGTCTTCCCTATCACGAAAACAACATGATACTAGTATTGGCTAACAGGATTTTAAGAGTACTGTTTGGGGGTAGGGATGGGAAGGGAGCTCCAACTTCAAACTTACTGAAAACTGTTCTTCTTGAGGAACTGCTGAGGCTGACTACTCTCTCTGAATATCAGGGTTTCCTAAGGAATATTCAAAAGTTAAGGCATCCACAGTGGCTAAACATTCGAAAATCTTGGCTTGTCACTGTGGTGCTGAAGCAAGTCTGTGGAACTGTAACAGTCAGTATCTTAGAGTATTAGGATTTCTAACCAAAGGCATTTATTAAAAAAACAATATCCATCTGTCTATTTTAAGCTGCATCTTTCTGTCACGTTATTGTAGAACACCACAGAAACGATGCATTAATAAAAAGTTAGTCTTAGAGGGATTTCAAAATTTAAAAGTTATATAATTTTAAATGCCACTTATCTTAAAACAACTCCTTAAGATTTGCAGAAAGTTTCTCTAAAAAGTATGTCTTATGTTTTGTCATCAAAGCACTTATCAGAAGATGCAGAGATCAACGCTCAGTGAAATCACTCTTTCAGCAAATTCATTGTTACAGAATATAAAGTAGGTTCCACTGTTCAGTGATCCCTGAACTTTACTGCTCACTTATCACTGAGCATGCTTCCATCCTGGTTAAATATTTGATATATATAAATTTCTAGTACAAATGAAATGTTTAGGACATTATCATAATATGACATATAATGCTGGTCTTTTTTTTTTTTTTTTTGCCCTCCCTGCTCCCCCAGCAGCTTAAAGTTAGCACAGCATTTTTTGTACGAGTCAAAAAGCATGTTTTGGTGAAATAATTAAAGAACATACCTACATTTCATGCGTATTTAGCAGATATAAATCTTCATGTCAGAACAAAAAAATGTTACATTTTCTATTAATCCTATATACGCTCCAGCGGATTACTTCTGTAAGTAACTACATCCACAGTTTTAAGTTGTATCACAGCTCTCATTCTCTCATTAAGTTGTAAAACACCCATAAGACAAGTTGTTTTAGAAACAACTGATTTATCCAAATTACAGGAGTACCTGTCTACTTTGAAGGGAAGGAAGTGTAGTATGTTGTGCTATGCATCCGTTTTCAAAACTAAAAACTATACAGAAGTAGAAGGTGGCATCTCTTTTCCTACCCAAACACTAAGACCTTCTATCTGGGCCAGACTTTGATATTTGCCCCTTGGCTGAGAAGCTGCGTATCCAACTTCACACTTAGCTGCAGCGAAGTAGCCCTGCAGGCAGGCCAACTTCAACGAACCACTAGCGGTATCATCATTAAAATCCTGCCGAAGGTCACCATGGCAACCGCCTGCTGAGGCTTCACCGCTGCACTCGGCATCTCCTAATCAGCTACCATGTGAAATGCAAATTCAGACAGTCTGAAAATTAGTCAAGAAGAATAGAGGATGAGGATGCAGATATGTGAAATATTCATGCGCTTCATGGAAAAAGGAAGACAGCATGAATGACACAACAAAGAACGGCCCCTGACATTCTTGCTATCATTTTGCATTATTGTTCACGCCCTACCGTATTTCTAGGCCTCCAGTTCTGAAGTTGGTTATATGAACTGCCATATTTATCGCCCACAATAAATAATAATTAAAAATGGCTGCAGCAAAATGATTAATTGGAAAACGCAAAGAGATGTATTGCACAAATTACACAACAGATCATCATTTCATCCTTTGTAAAGTCACTAAATTATCTAAGTCCACTTTTTGTTTCATAAAAGGGGAAAACTGCCACTGCAAATACAACAAAACACCACACTGGGCAGTAATCTTTTATTAATAGGCCAATCACTGTCTCAGAATGCAAAAAGATTCAAGGTTCAGAATTACCGCCCCTATTCTAGAAGCAAAATGGCACAACACCTTGCGTTTATTAAAAGTATTTCAGTGATCGTGTTTATTATCATGTTTTCAAAGTAATCTTTAATTCATGTAGCCTGAATTCAATTAGAATTGGTTACTAGTGTCTGTTCTTTGGTTTATAGCTTCTATCAGTTTGCCTTGTTCTTTTCAAAGTGGGAAGGTATTTTAAAACTGGCATTTCAGAACATGAAGCAGCAAGCATTTTTATTTTTTCACCCTGTACACTGGTTAAGACAAATATTTAGTTTCTTTTATTTAGCTTCCTTTCACTTTATACGCTTTACAGTTTTTTAAAAAAAAAAAGCAAAAAGCCCCTTTCCCTCTACCCACTCCCACTTTTAATGACAGTAAAGAGCTATTATGTACCAACTTAAAACACACGCTGTTGGGATACACATACTGAGCATACCGTTCAAATTCATCTGTATTATGTTTTTCCATATTTCTCTATAATTTCTTATTAGCGTAGTCAAGAACCACTCTTTTTTGCAAAACTACAACTGCTTTTCAATCTTATTGAACAGTACATCGTAGTTTTATAATGCAGACAAATGGGGATTAACAATTCATTTTTACTACTGTGTTACATTAGATCTATTTTAATGCTAGTCTCTAGAGAAGAGAGGCTCATGTACTAATTTATTGTGCAACATAAACTTGTATAGTTGTGCTTTTAGAAAACCATAATATAGATGTAAGACTCAATCCCATTATGGCATGCAGTACATATCACTGTACATTCTGGCAAAGCCATTGCATTTTTTCATACTTGCAAGGCAGACCAATGAAATTAAGAAGCTAACAGTATGAGCCTTCCAGCATTAATTCAAAAAAAAATTTTACATCATACCAAAGAGCTATTTTGAGACAAATATTTGAGCAAGTTCAAGCAAACACTTATAGGGATAATCCTCAAACCACATAAAATCACATAAGTTCATTCACTTCATTGGAAGCTTAAGCCATCTTAAATAAAACAAGGATCTGGCCTATGAAAAGGAATATTACTTACTTCCTCTGAATAGTGATCTGAAGGGAGAGGTGGATAGTCACACTGTTCTATCTTCTTGCACAGGGAGTACAAGTTCATTTTATCACCATAAAAGGGACTCTGCAGTGCAGCCATCTGTTTAAAGAAAATACACATTGTTCTTTTGTGCTTTTAAATAGACCTGTTTTGCCATAAAATCTGTTATACTAGTAAGTCAAAAGTGATTTTTAATGACTTTTGTTCACTGCTCAGTTTGGTCAAAGTGCTAAAACAATCGTTCTGAAACTTGTAATTTAACCAGTTTGTGTGCTTATTCTAGGTGGCACAGTAGTACCTGACCGAATCCTTGTACCGCAACATTTCAACTGTACACCAGAACATTATTTTACTTGATTTTTTCCTCATACTCTATTAATAGTTTCAGCTGTTGCTGTGAGCATGGAGGGGCCTTGTACCACTGAGGAAGATTTGGGGGGGACTGAACCACAAAGTTTCCCTCTAAGGACCTTTCGGAAAAAAGCGTACTTTTACTTGAAAAATATTACTTGATCTGAAGCAATAGCCTATGGTGAAAATGCTGGATAACACAGATTTTGTAGCCTTATTCAACTATTACACTAAACTTTATAGCTTTCCTTATTTAAAAAAAAAAAAAAAACTATCAAGGAACATAAGTTCCTCAATACTTCCCCAAAAAATATACTCATGATTTACTATGTTATTCCAAAATACTTCAAAAAAAATTATATCTGAAAACTTCCTTAGAAGTGCAGAAGTCAGCTGGTATTCATAACTACAATTTCCAACTGTACTAAAAATTATCTATTGGAAAACACTTAAATAAATAAATGATCAACTTAAAAATGGTATTAGCAAACCTATGCTCTATTTCCAGACAATGCTACAACTTGACATTTCAGGTGGAAACAAATGCTATGGTTAGCAGGATTACAAATTTAAAAATTCATTTTAAAAATCTCTCCATTCTGTTGAAAGGCTTTCTAAGCCTCTGAACCGCAGCAGCACGAATGCTGCTTTGAGTGCAACGCTGCCCCAAAGTCAGTCACCCTTTTCTACATGTGCTAATAAGTTTGATTTTGGAAGGACAATGTGTACATTCCCCAGACAGGCAGAGCGTGTGTGAAACACGCTAGTCCATGCTGTGCTACTCAGTGAGCTTCAACAGGGACAGGACAAGCTGAAAATGGCTCTCATCTGTCTTGTGGTCCTCCAGATATCACTTTAACTCTTTCATGTCTAAGCACTGACATCATCGGGAAAAACATAGTAAAAAAAATTACCAATATTCTAATATACATTTACTTTATACCCAATAAAATGCTCTTAAATAGTTCAGAACTATTTTTATATTAACTTCAAATAAAAATCATTTTAAAGCTCCTAAAACAAATTAACACTACAGTTCTGTCCACCATTCCCTCCACAAATTCTGGAGCTGTACTACCAAAATAACGTTAGGTTTTGGATATGCATGACATTGTCTCTTACCTTAAAAAGCGCGTTAAAAATACAAGCTAAAGACCGGGGGCGGGGGGGGGAGCACACCACACAACTGCAGAGTCTGTACGCACGCAGAAATTCAAAATAAATGCACAGATACTCATTTCGTACTCTAGGTGTTCATTAAAAAGTACTTTTGTTTGAACGCTGCAGAGTGTTAAAAAAAAAATTCTGAATGTCCCCTAAGGAGTTAAAACAGGAATACTATATTTTCATGCATCCCCTGCTTTGACAGATGAAAAATGTCAACTGTCCTGTTTTTATTTTCAAGCTTTTGCACTATTCATCTGGTTCATTAGTGCATCTCGCTGCTGCCCCTGACAGCTGCTCGCCCTCTCCTCCCAGCAGCTGAATTTTTCAGGCTAATTTGATCCTCCACACTGAGACGATCGCTAGAATGATTGACTTGCTCCCTGACCTCCAGGGTCTGACTTTCCTGATTAGTATTCTGGGGGTGTCTGAGGGACGAAAGCCCACTGTCTGTCTTCGGGGCTGGTGGCAGCTCACGCTCTCTCTCTCTTTTTTTTTTTTGAACTGTAAGCCACCAACCTACAACCCTGTAAGGATGCAATTGCTACGCTGAACAATAAAAGGAAATGTGTAAAACCTACTTTTCCATGTAAAGGTCCATGTAGCAAAAGCACAGCATCTTGATTTTAATTAGTAAAGTCTACTTTGTTGCATATCAATTAAAACTCCAGTAGTAGTGTTTTCAGAGGTTTCAGATATATCTGAGGCTCTGAAAAGTAGACTTTAAAACACTTTTTAAAAAACCTTAGTGACCATGTCACTAAGCACTGAATAATAAACTGTAGAACAGGTTAGAAATAATCATTTTTAAAAATAAACATAAATTAGAGCAAATTAGTTTAAACTTTAATTAAAACATAACTGAGAAGAGCTTAATGGCAATTAAGCATGCTTTGAAAAGTGATGAACATGCCACAGCTTTTCCCCAATTATGTTGGAGAGAATCCAGAGCACATATTAACATGAAATCAATACAATAAAATGTGTTAAAATGCAGGTAACGCACATAATATGTACCACAAAAAGACCCTGAGGACAAAACAGCACTGACGATGAAAACACCAATGTCCATGCACGGCTTGAAGAACCTTAAGCAACCTCTTCACAATTATCTTTAAAAAGTGGTATCTTTTGTGTTTACTATACCCAAAATTTCAGAATCATACCTCAATGATAAAAAAAGGGCTGGTAAATCAGAAGATCAACTAAACAGAATAAAGGCACTCCTAAAAAGTTATAACCTGTAGTTGAAGACACTGCCATATATTGAAGTTATGCAAGACGTTTCAACAATAAGAATCCTAATAATTGTTCTGTTCTTACAATCAGTAAGGGTAAAAAAGTCAACTTAAATAGCATCCTGGTAAAACATCTACATTTTTTTAAATAAGAGAAGAGCATTTAAAAATGCAGTGACAATTATTGGAATGAAGATATTTAACTACTTAAAAATTCCCATACTGTAAAAGAAAAATTCAAAATTCAGATTAGTTTTTAATATAATGTATGCAGCAAAGTAGCAAGCTCAAAACAATTTTTTTTTTTTTAAAAAGAAAAATAACTATTACTGAGATCCATCTGGCAATCTTCAGCCATAAATGGAAGAAACACTAACCTTAAAACACTGTTTATGTTAATTAGTTATTCATGGTTTTTGATTGTTTCGAGATAAAAAATAATACTCAAGAAAACCAAGGAGAGGAGAAAACCAAAAAAAAAAAAAAAGGTAGTAATATTGAAATATCCTCATGCACTGGTGATATTTGCTAGCTTTAGGCTTCTACTTGTGCAAGCATGTAAAGTAGAACATTGAAATTGGTAGTAGTTGTCATGGTCAGTATTAAGGAATCCCAACACAGGATTAAGCTTCATTTCAGGATTTAAACTCGTAAATACCTACTACCAGGTATCACACTTAATTTCTATGAATTGTCCTAAAGATTTAGGAGCAACAGCTATTCATAGATAGAAAATCCTTTAGAATTGGAATACAGCTATTTGCCCTTTTCATATTTTGGGTAACATGTTAACAATATAAAATATATTAAGTATTACCGAAGACAATTCACCTAGTTGTAGCATACAATTTAACAAGGATGCCAAAGTTTTCTACAAAATCCTAACGTAACAGGAGGTGCTGATCCTGTTGAACAGTGTTAAGTGAGCTTTGCTGACTCACTGAGGCAGGTGGCTTGTTTTTTCACCTAGGCAGATGGAAAAGCAAGTTGGTATGTATTAGTTTTTATCTGGAAGATGACTACCAAGATGTCACTGCCGGTACTATGATGCAAAGAAGTTTGTTACCAGCATCCTTCAACACAACGGTTTAGCCTTTTGATCAACAAATGATATGCAAGGAACTTTGAAGATGTAGTTGCCTTAGAAGCCTCCTATCCTTCATACCTTATTAGCCTCCATTTGAATTTGCCCCATATCTTTCTTCCCCCCCCTCAGAACATAACATAATTTACACTTCGGTAAGTGCTCCCTAACGATCTCTACTGTATTAGCACAGAAATTAACAAGTAATTTTACTTTAACTAATTGGGAGGGAGAAAGACGGGGGAAAAAAAAATATTTGCAGTAAAAGCTACTATCTTGAAAGTTAATCCAGGCTGGTAGTAGTAAGTACACAGTAGCCCAATGTTGTCTTTGTTTTATTTCAGTTGTAGATAACTTTAAAGAAACTAAGCTTATATTAAAATTATTATATGGTGGTTTTGGCAAGTGCTAGTTGCATACTCAAGTCAGTCCTACTACTTCAATTCATGTATTACCAAAAATTATATAAACAGCATATGCCATTTAAAACACCCAGAATAATTTTTACATGTGTTCATCACTACTCATTTATTAAACCTTCAGTTCTGCCCAATCTTCCACAAATTCCTGTAAAATTTCTGCAGAAAGCCCAGTAAGAGGCAAGCCTCTAATAACTCACCAGTATCTCATATGTTGAAATTACTTAAGACCTCTCATTGCCAAGTATTTTTTTTTTTAAAGACATAACAGCTGAAAAGTAGCTTTTCCACAAAGCTGCATGCTTTTCTAAACAGCAAAATCCAGAAATAGATCCTAAAACAGTACTTGATGTAATCTGGGGAGGTGGAAGGTAAAAACAGTGTTATCGGGTTCACGGTAGTTATCAATATTACCTCATACAGCAGGCAGCCTAGAGACCAGATGTCAGATTTGAAGTTGTAACCATTTTCATGTATTCTCTCTGGAGACATATAATAAGGTGTACCAACTGCAATAAATACAGAAGAATTTTTGAATGAAAAATCCTGTTATGAAATAGTAAAACTGCAGTATTCCTGGCCAAAAAAAAAATGATTTTTTTTTCTCTTTTGCACTGTTCATTTTACTATGCATAATTTGGATTCATACTTAGGACTTCTCAGTTTGATAAAAATACATATCAATTAGCTATACATTTCATCTAACATAATTTATGTTCACCACTGATAACCAATTACCAGTTACAAAACATTTCCAGTTTTTGCTTTTAAAGCAGCTCAAAAGGCTTCCAAAGTCGTTATGTTCTCCTGGGCCTCGCTAGGAAGAGACTACTACGCTGCCCCCTCCCCGTCCCCAACTCTCACCGCTGTAGCTGGAACTGCCCAACCAAGAGAAAACCCAACTCCGGGGCTTTTTGTTTGTTTTTCAAATGAGTTACCAATTCTTCCTTTGGCAAACACGCACCTCTGAAAAAGCTCCTTCTGAAATAAGCAGAGCGCAGTAGTCCGAATATCTGAAACTGAAATTGGGCCTGAAACCCCGAACGTCCAGCCCTGCGCGCAGGAAGGCCGGCAAAGCGGGGAGCGCAGCCCGAGCCGCGGCGCGCAAGGGCGACGCGGCCATCTGCTGCGCGCCGGAGCCCGCACGCGCCGCCCCGCGATAATCCTGCCTCAGAGCTGCGCGCTCCGGAGGCGTCAGTCCTTCAAAAGCAGCATTTAGTACATTTGCTCTGGGACAGTTGTACATTGGATCTCTCTCCCCCCGATTTCAAAGCAGGCCCTACCCATCTGTGTCACAAGTAACTCAGAAGAGACGCGGCGCTGAGCGCTGCCCCAACTCCATTAAAAAAATAAATAAATAAATAAAAGAGAGAGAGAGAGAAAGAGCGAGAGAGACAAACACACACACACGGGTAGGTATTCACAAAAATGAAGTTACGAGAAATAACACTTATGGTAATGTTGATGTCTTCAAACTTTATCCTTATATCGCCCCCAAACGTCACAGACTAACGGCAGAGAGAATCGCAGACCAAGGTTTTCACCTTAATTTTGTTTGCAATAGCTTCTTAAGCACTTATTCCTGATGGTGAAATCCATCTGAATTAAAGTCCTTTCGGTACAACTGACCTTATTTCCAAATCTTGGAACACAGCCAGAAATTAAAATCAACACTCTCACAAAAATTAAAGCATAAACCTCACTTGATTGTATTTAGCACAAATTATGAGGCTATCACAGGCGCTTACGCGTTTCTGATTTAGTTTCAGCTATTCAGAATTCATTTCCGTATAGATTCTGGAAATGAAAATACAATGAATATGTAAATTATTCCAAATATTACTAATCAGATTAGTAATTTTAATCTAACTATTTCCAGAAGTTAAGGGTTTGGTTTGGACAACGTGCCTTTCCCACGTTTTATAAAGGCTGACATCTCAAAGTATGTCACTCCTCTGGGGGGGTGTCATTCCCTAGCTGGGCGGTCTAGCTGCAGGTGGCCATCGCAGCTCTGCCTTCGCACACGTCAGGCCGCTGCCGCCCGTAACCCGCGCTTTCAGCTGAATCCTCCTGGGCAAACAATACTGAGAACAATCTTCCAAGCCAACAAAAGAACAGAAACACAATTCTCTTAACAGATATGCAGAGATCATACACTGTATCTTCCTAAACATTTGCAAGGCCAAGGCTTTTGTGAGGCAGACCTCCAGGCCCGGCAAGGAGAGGGTGTCGCGGCTCCTCTCCGCGCAGGCTCTGCTTAGCCGAGCCCTGCGAGGGGAAGCAGCCAGCTGTGAAGGAGCAGGGTGGAGAAAGACATCGCAAGACGATGGAGGACTCTGAAAACCATTTACTCTCATGGGACGCTCATATTCACCCACAACGGGGGATGGCCAAGAAGGATGGCCTTTCCAGAAAGAAATGACAGAATGGATAGACAGGTGGGTGGACTGCAACACCAAAATAGCTAGTAGAATATCTAGAAGCAAACAGAATATTACTCTATTTTTCCAGCATATCAACAGCAGTATTTCAGTGTATGTTTACTAATAGCTATCTTAAAATCGGAAGCTGTAATTAAACAACATTTGCCTGGATACAGC